GCGGCATGGGGCGAGGCTGGCTGCCCCCAGATCCGAAGCGCTGCCGAGGAGGGCGCCTTGCACTCCTCGAGGCAGGTGGGGGCTTCCCGAGTCTGTACCGCAGCCACTTCGCCAGATCCGAGTTCGTGCTGCTCGGCAAACTCGCCGAATGCCTACCCAGAGTAAGGATCGAACGCCCAGGCGGCGGGGGCCATCCATGGACTCGCTGGCGGCTGCCCTGGCCACGAGGCCTTGGCCTGGCGTTTTCCGTCCTGGGTGGGCCGCGAGGCGCCTGCTGCCCCAGGCGTATGCGCCCGTGCACCCAGTCTGGCTGGGGCCTCCGTGCTCGCGAAATCGGTGACGATGATGACGATGCTGCTGTTGCTGCTGCTGACGGCGATGATGATGATGTTGCTGCTGCTGATGATGATATGGTGGTGTTGATGATGTTGATGACGATGAGGAGGGTGATGTTGATGATGGTGGTGGTGGTGGTGCTGATGATGGTGATCATGGTGGTGATGATGGTGATGATGGTGTTGAGGATGATGCCGATTATGTATATGATGATGCTGCTGCTTCTGATGGAGATACTGATGATGCTGCTGCTGATGCTGATGATGCTGCTGCTGCTGCTGATGATAATGGTGCTGATGATGACGATGCTGCTGATTTTGATGATGATGCTGATGCTGATGCTGCTGATTATGTTGATGATGATGAGGGTGGTTCCGGTGATGGAGATGCTGATGATGGTGGTGATGATGATGACGATGGCGTTTATATATGATGATGTTAGTGGTTGTGAAAGCAACGACACCGATGATGATGACGATGATGCGGACGATACTTCTGATGATGCTGATGGATATGTTGACGACGCGGACGATGACGTTGACGACGGTAACGATAAGTACTATGACGACGCCGATGGCGATTTCTACGATTATACCGATGATGGTGATGCGTGGAGACGATGAAAACGATTAGGTTGATTGTGAATACGATGTGATGATGGTGTGCTGTGATGATGGCCATGACCAGTATTGTGATGCTGGTGAGTCTGATGACGATTATGACTATGTTGATGATGGTGAGACACAAGGGAAACGGGCGACACTGGGGACGATACCATGGCCATGCTGATGAGGATGACAACGGCAGCGATGGTACGAACGAAGGTGCTGATGATGTTGGTACTCATTCTGGTGATGATGCTGCTGCTGATGATGATGATTGGGGACGCCGGCGGCAACAACAATGATGATGCTGATGATGATGACGATGCTGACGATGATGATAATGATGATGGTGATGACGATGCTGACGATGAGTATGACGTTGGCGGCGGCGATAGTGACGAACGCGATGACCACGATGACGATGATTACGATGATTTTGAGGATGATAGTGATGGTGCTGATGCTACTGTTGATGTTCTTGATGAGGATAATGCAGACGCCGCTGGCGATGTCGATGGTGGTGAGGATGATGACTTCGATTGTACGACTGCTTATGCTGATGATGCCTGTCACGACGCGCACGATTGCATCGACAGTTTGGATGACGATGCCGGTGGCGATGCTTATGATGATGGTGCTGATGATGCTGATGCTGGTGGTAGTGATGGTGGACGATGATGGTGATTGTGGGCGATGATGATGATGATGATGATGATGATGATGATGATGATGATGATGATGATGATGATGATGATGATGATGATGATGGCGGTGATGATGATGACGATGCTAAGGATGATGCTGATGCTGCGGATGCTGATGCTGATGCTGGAGCTGAAGCAGCTGCTGATGCGGATGATGATGAATGGTGCAGATCCTCACGATGATATTCTACAGGCTTACGCCACATCCGCCGACCCCTTCTGTGAGTGTTGCGAGGCCAGGAGTTTGTGGCCAGCGGCGTCTTGTGTGAGGGTGCGGTGTCGCGCGCGGGTGGTGGCAGATACGTAGGGGGTCCAAATGTTTGCGTGATGCCAGTGGTCTGGGGCGTGTTTTGCGAGCGCCTTGCGTGCTGTGCGCCCGGGTGCGGGGTGTCCTTCTGGGAGGTCGGCCTTTCGACCCGCAACCAAGTGGAGGACCACCGGAAGACGAAAGGAGCAAGAGTGGTGTGCGGAAGCTGTGATCAGCGAGGCATCACCGCGAAAGATGTGGCAGATGAGTCGACACGGGTGAAGAGGCCGTCGACGTTCGCAGCGCGCACTAAACAGTTCGCGCGGCAGCAGCACATTAGCGCCGAGCAGGATAGTGAGCACTTCACGAGGAAGAGTAAGGCTGTATGCGCGGAGTGCATTGCAGTTGGCTTCACGGCTCGCAATACGGAAGCGTCTGGGGGTCTTTTGGGGGCCTCCTGGGGGCCTCTTGGGGGCTCCGTGGGGCGATTTGGCGGCCTCTTGGGGGCCTCTGGCGGCCTCTTGGGGCACTCTTGGGGCCCCCTGGGGCTCGTGGGGGCGGGCCCCTCTTGGTGCCGTCTTGGAGCCTTCTTGGGCCGTCTTGGGGAC